ATTGCAGTTAAAGCTAATTGTAAATTAAGCTTACAACAGACTCCTAGTGCTTTATATTCTAAAGAGAATTCCAATGAACAACTCATAAGGGTGGCCAGATTTCTCTCCACAGAGCTTACCAATGATTACTCCACCACGCTCTCCCTAGAGAAGAAAAAGAGAGACTTGAGGGTATATAGAAGGGTCAGATTGTCTTGGCACTGCACGTGGGCAGAGTGTACAAAAAATGGTAAGAGGCTGCTAAGTATCCTCTTGCATCTCTCCCTTCTTCTCAACTACGGAAGAGAGAAAGTAAGAGCCACTTACCAGTAGCATAGCCAAGTTTGAGGGATGGTTGAAGAGAATCACTAGGAGAGACTGGGTATACCTCTAACAAATGGAATTGGGCATCTCATTACCTGAGTGGATGTTGGTCAAATTGTAGAACTTGAAAGCCCATTCTTGTGATCACGAGAGAAGAGAATAATGAGGAAGCTCTTGAAGACCTTGATTTGTATGCTCTGAATTTGGGGTGCTGTGCATTTATTGTCTACAGCTTTTGGCAGGCTGAGGATCATCTGGAGAATCCCATGCTATTAGGACTTGGAGAAAGCATGATGAAAGGTATTGGGAAGAAGATGGAGGCAACCTCTATTCCATCCTTATTGTCTTTGACCCTCAGTTGATGAGAGAGCAAATCTCAGCAGTCACTCACTGGGTGTTTGATTGAAGGAGAAAGGGAATTAATGAAGGGACAGAAGACAGAGCTGACCAGACAGCTGCCAGGCAAAACAGTGGGATGCCTAACATTACAAAAAAAGGATCGGAAATTGGACTTCAAGCAGGATCACTTAGGGACAAAGCTGCCTCTGTCTGAGAGGATAATCTACAGTGGAATGGTCTAGGATCGAGGTGATGCCCATTCCAAGAAAATCACACTTATCATCTCCTTGGGGACATCCAGAATCAGATAGAACCAGATTGAACCAAAATGTCCAGGGATATTTATCACCAGAGATAACCTTACCAAGTTAAGTATGGGAACATTTTCTCATGTCTTTCCACCCACAAGCTATTAAAAGAACAAGTGACTAGAAGGTGTGAATGGGAGTGGAGCAGTGTGGGGAGTAAGTTCTTTGAATCAGATGTGTGACTGGAATATTAAACTAGACTGAATTAAATTTTAATGACGGACAGTGACCAAAGCATCTTTCTAAGGCAAAAGAAAGGGACCTAGTAGGGCACATTTGAAAGGAATAATTAGGGCTTCCCTGGTGGCGCAGTGGTTGAGAGTCCGCCTGCCGATGCGGGGGATATGGGTTCGTGCCCCGGTCTGGGAGGATCCCACATGTCGCGGAGCGGCTGGGTGCGTGAGCCATGGCCGCCGAGCCTGCGCGTCCAGAGCCTGTGCTCTGC